GGCGGGCAGGGGCGGGGCCGGGGCCGCGGAGGAGGCCGGGGCCGGGGACGGGTTGGGGGGCGGCGCCCGGAACACGGTGCCGTCAGGGTTGGACACAATGATGGCCTGTCCGGCCCGGCCGGTGGCGCTGCCCGCCGGCGGCCGTCATACCTCCTGGAGGAACTTGAGGGGACACACCCCTTGCCTGTTGTCCCCGCTCCGGATCATCACCATCCCGTCGAGCTCTTCGCCCACCTGCAGCACAACGGAGTTGGTCAGCAATAGCACGCCCAGCCGGAAAGCTTGCCGCTCAGCACCCCTCCCGTCCTCGCCGACACTCACCTGGATGACGATCTGGTCCCTGAGCAGTGTCAGACCCTCCTCCCCGTCGGCCACCTGCAGATTGTGCGTCACCTGGAGCGGCCGCTCCCCGGGCTGGATCTTGGTGACATACTTGGAGGGGAAGAAGCCGATACGCCCGAGACACTTGCCCTTCCACCAGTCCTGGTCCGCGGTGTCGATCACCGTCACCTTGTAGCCGGCCCTGCGTGCGGAGCAAGGGTACAGATTATAGCATCCGCAGCACCACAAAGACCCCCCCCCCCCTCCCACACGCAAACAAACACGACTTACTTGAGATCTAGTTCGTCTTGGTGTCTGGCCTTGAAGTTAAATAGCACAACGTACAGGTTAGTCGGCAGTAGGCGGTGTGATTTTTGCTAAAAAACAAAAAAGAAACGAAAGAAAACACACTCTAGGTTAGCAATGCCTTCACGTCGAAATTTATTCAGTTTGCAGAACATGAGTCATCCATCGTTTGAAGTCGGTACCTGTCCGGCGGTGCGCGAGTCCCGCACGGGGCTGGGGCAGGGCGAGGTCGAGGCCGACGACTTGTCGTTGTCGTCCGGCAGCTCCACCGAGCTCATGCGCATGTTGCGCGCCGACAGGTGCCGCCGGGTGTGGCCGGGACTGGACGGCGCTGCAAGGAGAGGCGGGGCGCGCGTTAACTACTTTGTTCACATTTCAAGTGTATGCTCTTCTTTGAGAACACACGGGGATTGCGCATTATACGGGTGACGGTGGGCGTGGTCCTTGGATAAACGTCGTTGTCCAGCCAGCGTGTTCAGCCCGACGAGGCCGGGGTAGGCAAGCCCGCCACACAGGCGACAGTGCGGGTGGCCTACCCTCGCATCCGCGGGCGTTCCAGCCCAGTCGGATCGCGGCCACCGGCCGGCTACTGTTACAATATACAATTAAGAGCTACCTTCTACGTCCAGGGCATGCAAGCAAGGACTAGAAAAGGAAAGAAGTAAACTGGAACAGAGAGTGCGCAAAGGTGAAGTAGGTGCTTTTCTAGAGAGGGGAGTTACGTACAACCAGGTCCAAGGGCACGCAGCAAGACTAGCTAACCAACCGCTTGCGCCTACCTGACGACTGTCACCGTTCCTACAAAAATAGGCTGTAGCTGTAGAGGAAAGGACACAGCGCACTCGGTTGCGTCTTCGTGTGGGACTCAGATCGTGCTAGATCGGCATCTAGAAGCTGAATGTCCAGTTGCCAACCAAGAATTGAGCTAATCAACTGGTTACGGGTGTCCGCTTACGGTGATTACTTTGTGTGCTTTGCTGTACACGTATCGTTATACTAATAGTAATAGGGTCCCATCGGAGACCCCATCACTACTTATACTTTCTAGCCTCCCTCCACCACAAAAACAAAAAAAAAACTATTTCTGTTTGGTACCACTACAGAATTTAACCTTCAATTAGAAATGTGTTGTACTTTTACTCCAAGTAAAATACATGCTTATACTGTCAAGGTTAAATCACAGCAGCCCAAACATTATAGGAGAGAAGGCTGTCGTCTTTCCCAAAGAGTTATTTTTCGAGAAGTTAAGCAAGCTTTAAGTTCAGGACTGTAAGAACTGGGAGAAATTCGAATTGTCGGGAAAGACGACTGCCTTATTGTTGCTTCTACATTTCCAATTTCCAGCATTCCCTAGGTAGTTAGTCCGACTTATATACACCGACGGGAATTGTTATTTACATCAGGGCAGACATTAAATAGGCAATTTACTAAATATAATTTTATCGTACTTGACCAAGATCGGCCATGTTGCAGGTATACAGCTCTCCGCCGGCCTAAAGACCACAATCGAAAGGACGAATCTTGTAGATGTTGAGGGTAGCCTAAAACAAACGCCCGAGTTAGTTTAACGCGAAAGATCCGCCAAGGAACCGTTTTTAGCTATGTTAGGGCTTTTCAGAAAATTGCATTCAAACGATATTTAAGTGAAAAATGCTAGGATTTCTATAAACCTGGGAAAGGCTGGCCATAAATTGGACTTTAATCAACATCACATTGGTACGCGTTTGTTTCCAAACAACGGTGAGGATAAAATAATCCCTATTTTCGCGCTACACCCTTTGTATTAATTGGGGTATAATCAGATTCATCCGGCTAGAGCGAAACACCTTCATTCCCACAACTATTGGTCCTCTACGGAACTCACTACCCTGCTATTGATATTACGTACTGGAGGGCGTGGGCCTATAAAAATCTGCATACGAATGAGCTGTAATAAAGAAGGAAACGAATTATGAGCAAAGTGGGTGCAGAATAATTTGAAAGTGAAAACACACTCTCTCAAACTCTTATTAGTGACCATTAAACGGTTGATAGGGACATCAAAAGGCTTATAATCATTTAAACATTTTGCTCCGTGGGCGTACTCTTCAAACACAAGTGTGTGGCATGTTGGCACGCACTTTTAAGTGTTAGAAAGAACGTCACACACTTCTAATTGTAGAGTATAATAGTTTTTAATATCTCAAAATTTACGAATAAACAAAAACCAAATAGCCAGCAGTTCACACAATTTAGTCTTAAATAGAACTGAAATACGAAGAAAAATGATTTGAGAATGAGACGAGTGCATTAGAAGAATTGAGAGAAAAGAAGGATGTGCACAACACATAGCACACAAGAAGAAGAGAACGAGAGAATCTGCTGAAGAGAAGTACTAAACCAACACGTTGTATTACTCATATTACGCTTCGCTACGCAAGGAAAGCAAGATGAGAAGAGAGGAGCAATAAACATGCTGTAAGGAAGCTCGGCCGGTAAGCAGCGAGTCAAGAGCGAAGTGTTGCGATTCACGAGACGAAAGGAAACGAACAGCGGGTGAGACAAAAACCTCTCCGATTGTGTGGCCGAGCCGGGCCGAGCATCGCTCAAACAATCAGGGACGCCTTTGTTCAACCGTTCCTCCGAATCTCGCTAGTATGAAACACCATGCCGATTCACGGAATGTGACGTTTTATTTAAATTCTTATTTACATGCGGACGCGTCCACCCCACACTGAACGGAACACCGAAGCGTGTGAATGTCACACACACTTGTAGGTGTGTGAACGCCATTCGTAGACATGAAGGCACAAGTATGAGTGAATCTCCAAGGAAAATTCACACGTCTGCTCCCTCAAGTGTACGAATAGGCTTTCACTCACCTACAAAGTGTTGCGACATTTGGGCACACTTTTGCGTTTTCCAGTGTGGGCTCCTCGCCTTGCTTTTGCCGCGCGGTCCGCCCGGGGGGTTAGACATACGTACACTGCAGCCTGGACGACGACGAGTGACTGGAGTGCGGGTCATGCGGCCCGCTGCCCGCGCTGCTGGTGCCGCCGTGGTGGCCGTGGTTGTTGGCGGGCCGGCCTCGCCGCGCGTGCTCGGTGGACTCGGGAGAGTCGAGCGACAGCGACTTCATCCGGAGGTTGAGCTTCTGACGCCGGGGGCTGTGCGGAGCTGCAAGCACGCAGGGGCGCCCGGTTAGCCGTGAGCCGACAAGGGGGTGAGCACTCTCATGCAGAAAGGTCTAAGGTCGCGAATGTTGTTGTCGTAGGGGGTCCCGCGCCCCAGCCCGAGACAAGAAGAAAACGTAAAAAAAAGTTTCAACAGCGAGAGCTTTTCAACGGAAAGCGATGCAATCGTGCTGCGTAGCGCAACGCCTTTTGTTCTGTCGATGAGCCAACCGTTATTTACGATTAAGAGAGAAGGCTTTCTACGACACTCCAGAAAAGGTAATTGAAGGTTAAAAAAAACACAAAAAAATAACAAGCCGAGTCACACAGCATGCAGAGCGTCGACACCCTCCACTACATGAAGGGCACAGTGATGCACACAGAGTGAGGGCGAGCGCGGTGTTGGCCGACGAGCGCGCGCGGGCCGCCTCCGCTCTGAAAAAGGCGAGTTCGGTTAGGTTAGGGGAAAAAAAGAGAAGAAGGTTGGCGACAGAACTTTCCCCCGCGACACGCTGTTCCTTTATGGGCTGGAGAGATGGGGGTCACATCTTTGACCGGTTTCGCCTGAACTGTGACTTGGTCAAAGTTGATCGGGTGAGTATGGTGCACGATAAAAAAATTTCTCCAGAAATGGATATCCTGCCACCTCGCCTCTAAATGTCAGTTACATAGCTATTGGTTTGTTACACACTGATGAGCCGGGTGTGCAACCGGTAAACACTTGCTCGTGCACTGGAAATGCAAGTGTGTGAATGTCGCTCACCTGCAGGTGAGCGACATTCCATTCGTACACTTAGGGGGGTAAAGGTGTGAAAAAATTCACACGTTTACCCCCTCAAGTGTACGAAAGAAATGTCGCTCACCTGCAGGTGAGCGACATTCACACACTTGCATTTCCAGTGTGTGCAACTTCAAATTATAGTCCTTGGCATTAGAGATCACCCAAACTAAGAAAGTACATCGGCTTTTTTCTCGGATTCGTTCGACAAATTACAGGAGCTTGGCGCCTGCGAAACTCGGGGTAGGCCATCCAGCAGAGCAGGCGTGCACTGCAGGCGAGATGTTGCCTACCTACCAGGCGCTATGAGAGCATGCATTGACTGAACTGGGCAGTTTCGTAACGGCAAATGGAGGACGTACTTTCTGGTATCGCGAAGGTCCCAAATCCTTGGAACTTCAAAGCATTTGCTTTGTGTTTACAAAGGAATGCTTTGCAAGGTTTTGATTGTGAGGAGTAGCACCAAGAGTATCAAAGTCACAAGTGTTTACAGGTTGCAGACAAGCTTAATCAGTGCAGGTAACTGTAATACTGTCTTCATGACCCATGCAGATAATGAGTTTCTAACTGAAACTATAAATTTGTACCAAAGAATATTCCTACTACCATGGACCAGCAGGTTGGTCGAAATTCTCCGCTACAGTAGTTATACTGTACCGCACAAATGTGTGCAGGTGGGTTGCCAAAGTCCAGGCACATTTACGTTCTGTGTGCTACGGCTAATTTAAATATATAGAACTATTGAAATTTCTATGAACTACAAACTTCGTGGGTACCACGTGTACAGCCTCGTGACACAATGTAAAGCAACAATAATTTTTCACTCAGTGAAACGCGCTTAAAATGGTGACCGAAAAAAACAACAGCAAATCACGCGGGAACTCATACAGAGCGAGTATTATGGGTAGGAAAAGATAACTCTTTACATCGCCACACGAAGTACAAAGTAATGAAATGCTCTATTTGGCGAATGGGCGGCATGCATTAAACCTGATCTAGAAATAAACGTACAAAAAAGTAAACAGTGTTTCGCAACAACTACTCTGTATGTGGCCGTCGCTAATGCACCCGACAAGTGCTGATTTACTTGGCGTGCGGTTCCCTGCGGTTACAAAAGTATCTGGTCCTACGACCCCGTGTGAGCTGGACGCATCTACCCCGTGTGAGACTGAGCGCTACAGACCGGCCGAGGGCCCGGCGTGCCCGGCGAGCCCGGAGGGGCCAGAGGAAGGCGACGCAGGCGACGAGCCGGCCGAGGGGACGGCCAACGTCGTGGCGCTGCGAGAGCTCCGCAGCGAGGACGACAGCCCGCCTGCGCGAGAACACCATCAACAACATGTCCCGCATGCTCTCCAGCCCATTGTCCAGACAACAATAACACACGCAAAAATACACCAAAACAACACACTCCACAGGATGGCTAGAAATAGAGAAGACAAAGGGCGGCAGGCGGAAGGAGACGGCCAGTTGTGGGCGGGAAAGGGCAGAGTTATTATTATTAGCAGGTTTGATTTGCCCCCCGTTATTGGCAGGAGAATTAGGGTTTATTGCCAGATCGATGGTCCACGCACGCCAACCGGGCCACGCCTGGACAGCCATGCCACTCCGCGCTCCAAAAGCGGCCCCACATGCCACGCGAACGTACCTGCAGGCGGGGCGGGGTCAGGGGCCCCCGCGGGGGTGGGCGGGGACGAAGGTTGTTCCGTACAAAGGCAAGAGGTCTCCTTACACTTTTATATATCATCACTTCCATACACCATGACAAAAAAAAATAAAAATAAAATAAAATGTCACCACTTTCTACATTTTTTGAGTTAAATTATCACAGAATCTCAAGTATTACTACCATCAAAAAAAGAAAGTTTACTTATGTCTCGCTTGCTTTTGGGCGGAGCGTTTTTCCAGAGTCTTGGTACACATTGATAATAAAAATAACAGATGAATCACAGATTGTGCTTTTCTACCCTCCCTAGAACCACCACCGTTCCCACACGTTATAGTCCAGACATCACAAATAGTAATAAACGTATCCAAGCACCAGCCGCCAGCCGTTCAGTTCCGCCGGAGCGCCGGGCCGTTGAGCTTGGCGTTCCTGGCGGACAGCATGGCGGCCACAGGGCTCATGGGCAGGGGGGAGTGCGGGGAGTGGCTGCCCGGGGACCCTGGGGACGCGGCGGCGGCGGCGTCCTCCTCCTCATCGTGGGCCAGGGACAGCACGAGGGGCTTGCCGAAGGGGCGCGTGCCCGCCGCGGACCCGACGGCGTTGGCCTCTGGAAAAGACGACAGATGCTGCAGGATGGAGGAGTCACATAGGGCAGGCACGGGCCTCGACTTTACTCTAGCGAACCTTTGGATGAGTTTTTTAAACGTAACTATAAAACTAACTTTAATCAACGAAAAATAAATAAATAAGGAATTAAGGAATAAAATTACATGAATAAAAGGGAAGTATGTAATTTTCAGAGGGACAGAAAATGCCGTTAGACTGGGAGACACGTCAGCAGACCTATGGAGCACAAAGAAATAAACAAACATTTTAAATTAGGAAGAGGGTTAGGTATTGTGACACCTGCAATGTGTTAACAGGTAAGTCACGCGTTAGAACGCAGCCGCCACACGGACATCATGTTTAGTTACAATTCGGTCACAAGCAAGCCTGGCGACAAGTTCTTGAGCTGGAAAAAATGCAAAACTCCAGAAAACGATTCTACAAATTCGAGTACTTAGATGATTTACAATAAGAAGCCCGAAAAGTGGGTAAACAATAAACCAAAGTATAAACGTTTTAGCTACTCAAAAGCCAACGAAGCGCGCGTTCACTGAGCACTGAGCGTTACTACAACATAGTAAGCTGGACTTAACGCTATCCAATTGTGACTGATGCCCCCTTCGCCATATGGTTAAAGAGAAAAAGAAGAGGTAAAGCTTCCCCGAAAGTGGAAGGTACGGGGTGCATCAGAGCACGCATCACAGTGCTGCGGGTTTGCCTACCCGTTGGGGTCGCGTAGGCCATGGTGCCTTACGGCCCGAGGCAGCCCGAGGGCGACGGTGCCTGCAAAGCCATGGCTCCTGGGTGATCAGCCAGTGAGAGATGGACGGTAAAAACGACGGTTTCTAAGCAGTCAAGCATCCTTTATTGAAGTAATACATAGCAGCGTCGTGTTTTTTTCAAAACTGCTTAAAAACCAAGCCGTCGTTTATGCCATGTGGAAAACCAGAAAGGTGTCCAGTAAGTAGGCGACTTAATTTAAGATTCTTGGGTGTCACCCAGCTGCCGGGCACCCCAGATTGACAGTGTAGGCAAACCAGCAACACTCGCAGTGCGTGCACCCGCCAGGGGCGAGGCCCCGAGGGGAGAGAGTGACGCTGACAATTAGTATAATGAGGGGGAAAGTCTAGACGGCAGCAACACGCTTAGCCAGCCTACTGAGCAAGCAGCTACGGGACTGTGCAACGCGCCCGTCCCGGTCCCAGCGGCCCCCGCACCGGCGCAGCTCGACTCTCCAGAAAAATATTTTTAAATTATCTATTTGCCAAAAAGAACATAAAAAATATACACGAAACAACTGGCGCAATTAACGGCGGGGGTCGTCGGGACCAAGGGATACCGTAAAAAAAAAGAAAACAAGTAGAATGTCAGAAAAAACAACAACAACATGACAAACACCAACAACATGAAATAGTAGCAGCAACAACAACATGGTCAGCAGGTCCTACTCTCGGGAAGGGAGATGGAACGGGATCCTGGTCCAGGGGAGTCCCCTCGCTGGTCGCCGCGACTCCTGTGGTGGCCGACGGTGGAGAGGCTCTTGATGCCGGCGAACCAGCGGCGGCGGCGGCGGGCCGCGTCGGGTGTGGGGGGCAAACCAGTCGGCAGGCCGCCGCCCATGCCCGCCGGGCTGAGCGGCGTGCTGTTGGCGTTGACACGAGCCATCAACAGCCCTGGGGAACCAACAGCAACAGCTCGGCTCAACCTGCTTCACTTTGAGTGGTGGTGCACTGCACAGGGCTGGGCTGGGGGTTACTAGAGGGCTTGTGGACGATTCGACGATTTCACACGATGGCGGCGCACTTAACAAGTCTTTAAATATGGCTTTGACTCCGATCTGTTTCGACTCTGGCGTACCAAACGAGCGTCATGACATCTACAGCATAACACTAACACGACAGGGTCTCTCTTTCTCTCTCTTTTCTTCTTATTTTGTTTTGAGTTTCACACGCAAATTCGCACCATCACACTGCCACCGAATATGGGTCACCGATTTCGGCCAGAGGTCATGGCGCCAGTACAAATATTTTTTATATGAAAAAAATAAGAAGCAATCACAAGACAAAAAAAAATTAAGTTTCTCAAAAAAAAATGAACAAAAAACATGCAAATGATAGTACAAAAATAACAGTCAAAACATCTGCTCCAGGCAATTTGAACTTAAAGAAAAAAACGTACGAACAAAGGTCATAAATCTGCACACACCTTATACAGTTTCTGTCCTAGTAGATTGAAAAGACAGTACGCAATCACCATGCAAACACTACAACCAAAGTAAAACGAAACACCAAATAAACATATTCCGGACGAGTGGGAACCAACCACAAAGGACTAAAATACGAGTGGGGTATGAAGGATGTGATCGAACCGGGCAGGGGTCGCGACGGACTAGCCATGGGCCGAGCGGCCGAGCCCCGGGCTAGGGCCGCGGCCAGGACACGCTATAGGCCCGGCCGCGGGCCCCGCCCCACCACTCCACGTCACACAGACGGCAGCAGACAAGGAAAGATAGACGTAGAGACAGATACGTAGCAAAAGACAGAAAGCGCAAGGTCGTACCAAAAGAAAGTCGGGGGCAGCCGCACATGACTGCCATGAGAAAAAAAGCAGGACTAATACGAGTGCTAAATATTTTAAATGCTCCTCCTATGGAACTGAAATTACGAGCACTCCGTAAAAGATAACGGAAATCATAATTTTGTATTTCCAGTAAGAATGTGGGAATGAACAACAAAGCAGCAGACAAGTTAAGAACGATGATACAACCAACTGTCGCGTAACGTAACTTTGAACGTGAAATAAAAAAAAAAGGTTCAAAGGCCTTGCGAGGTTTCAAGATAGTACTTGGCACGACCGGGCTCGACAGGACGGGGAAATAGAGAATGAGACAGGAAGACAGACAGAAACAGAGAGACAGAGAAGAGTCAAAGAAGGACAGAGAGATAGAAAGATAGAGAGACAGCGAAACAAAAGAGAGACAGGGACATAGAGAGAGCGTAAGAGAGACGAGAGGACGGACATGTGTCACACGGTGTATGCAGACCTGAGCTGGACGCGTGCGGCATGGGACCCACGCTGAGCTGTGCCGAGCCGAGCGCCGCCCCCCGCAGCGGCACCTGGGGGTTCCTCCGCAGGGTGTTGCCGCCCCCCGCGCCCGCCCCCGGGGGCACGTCGATGCCCGGGCATGCGTCCAGCAGGCGGCCGTCGAGCCCCGGGCGGCCGTCGGGCGCGGGGGGCCGCCGGACGCGCTCGCTGCCCCCGCGCTCCGCGCGCTCCAGCACGCGGCCGTCGGCGAGCTCCGTGGCCTGCTGGGCCTGCTTCAGCACTTGGTAGACGGAGTCCATTTCGGGCCCTGGTTGGTGATGGTTGTTGGTCGTGGTGGTGGTAGTGGGTGGTGGCGAGTGCGGCGGCGAGTGAACGGGACAGAGTAGTGTAGAGTGTGTAGTGTGAGAGGGAGACAGATAGACAGAGAGAGAAAGAGAGAGGCAGGGGGCCACGCGGTGGAGGAAAAAGTAGTGAAACACAATGCGAATTTGTTTTTTTAAAGGCACCATGAGATAGAAATGAGCACATGCAACGAAATATGTACAGTGACGTGAGATGAGGTGAAGGGCATGAGCAAATGATTGCGATTAAAAAATGTAAAGAAAATTGTGTTTGGTGCGAGAGGGTGGGGGGAGGGAGAGGGAGAGAGACAGAAAAGAGAAACAAAAAGTACAGTTAGTCAAAGGAAGCGAAATGGTCAGCAGCGGACCACGGGGAGGGCTTCCGCCTGCAAATGATTGGACACTGCACTGGCGCGCGCACACAGGCAAGGCACGTACAGATACACAAACTCATAGTCCAAGCAGCAACAAACCACCAATGCCAAACGGAGTCCGCAAAACATGCTAAATCTCCATACGAACGCCGGCATACCACCCAATCCCGCGCGTTCAACAGGGGATGCGCACTTGAATGTCATCATGTCAGGACGCGAAAGCGAGCCGAGCACAGCCGCAATTCTGTTTCCAAACCACCAAAGCGCGAGCGATGCAGTCACACTCACACAGCGCAAAGCGCAGGCCGAAAGGTCGCCATGTACCTGTGACCGTCCGGGCGAGCTCAAAGCTCTACTACCCGAGAGCAGAGCTCAATTGGGAAAACTGATGTTTGGCATCGATGACGGGATAGACTTGTTATGCACTGATAAAGGTTTGCGAAGGATTGGGCTGTTTTGAGAGTCTACGAAGAGATTTCTTTGCAACCGCAAAGGATTTTCTTCGCACAACAAAGAAAATCGTTCGCAATTGTCTCTCAATTAAGAAGCAGCCACAGTCGCTTTACAGTGTAGGATTATGGTTCCATCAGCCTCAGACTGTATCAGGTTAAGGATATTTGCAGCACATTAGCAAATGCGGGCAATTGCGGATTACAAATGAATGCTGCAATAATTGGTACTATGACCACAAGTTCCAGATTTAAATGCCTCTTTTTTCGAAGAAGATACACCGATCCGAGCACTGCTCTCGCTCGACGAAAAGAGGGACAATGGTTTTCGAGAGTCATTAACACGACTTTCGGGAATAACCATGGAACCATGATTCTTTTATAAGACGGTTGGCGATGCCGAATGTTTCAAGTGAGTTGCATTCTAACAAAAACACGTTTAAGAGTGGCTAATATGTAAATACATAATCTGCTAATGTGATACTCTGCCAAGGGATCGGCCATAAATTACGCCCATTTTCCCCACACTCATTCCTCAAACTGCAGGAGCTCGGCGTCTGCGAGACTCGAGGTAGGCCACCCCACAGTACATGCATGCCCTCCAGGCAAGATGTTGTCTACCTACCAGGCGCTATGAGAGCTTGCAAAGGCTGAGCTAGGCAGGTTCGTAACGGAGAATGACGGAGGCACTTTATGGATTATCCCTGATCTGCTAACCACTTAACCCGACACAGCCTAGATCAGCAAACGTTAAGGAGTTAATAGTTAAATTTTAGTGTTAATTTCAGTTTTAGTTCGCAAACAAAGAGAGAGCAAGAGAAGAAGATATCGCTACGAGCGCGTCAACAAATGTACAAAACCCTGTGTAACATTTATTTTTGTCGAACAGTGACCAATTCATTTTCCGTCATCTTAAGATGGAGTAAGTCGTAAGATGTGTAAAGGCTTCTTGCAGCAGCAGCAGAAAGGCCGATTGGTAGTCTTTCTTTTAAGTTATTCTGTCGAGAAGTTTAAGTTTTTTAAAAGTATAGGGAGCGTTCCAAAGACGGTTTCCGGGGGCAGAGAAACAGCGCGTAAAGCCTACTCGATTGTTAGCGCATTACCGGTAAGTCGCATCGCCATCCACCAATAAGCGCTAACAACAAAGGCTCGCGCATTAGGATGGAAAACTAAGAGGTACCTAAGAAGGCAGGACTCGGAGGTTGCGAGCGCGATTTCAGGCTCCGAGGAGGTGCCTTCGGTGCCAACAGTCTCACTGTCGCCAATACTCGAGCTGGAAAATGCGGGATCCATTTTCACCACTTTCTTATTTAGCATCGGCTCGATAGATACCGTTGGGTACCCGCACATATCGTCTCCACAGAGCCACTGCAGGGGAAGGGTACACAGGTAGGAAAAGGGTGTTTATATCGTTTGCCCAGGAGCCACTGCTGCCCGTCCAGTTTTATTTATGTTCCAGCCAGCAATGATCAATCCAAATGACATCAATCTCACGCGCTCTGGAAAAAAAAACATTCGCCAAACTTTTCACGTTTTTGCATCAAAATTGCGTTTCTCTTACATTGACGTCAGCTTGGTGAGATTTTATAGGCGTATTTGAAACAAAAATATATTTTTATGGGAATAATAGCAAAACCTGGAAATTGAGGGACGGGCAGCAAATGGCTATAGCAGGCCGCAATAATAAAAAGGATGATGCCATTTTTTTCCGAGTAGAAAAATAGTAATTCTATGCTGCTAAAATATGTCCAGTAGATTTAGAACAGACAGCACATAGGCCCGCTTGTCTACCGGGACTTACTTTCGTCTTGCTCTTGGTTGAGGCGGGACTCGATCTCTGAGGAAGACTTCTGACGCCGCAGCAGCCGACCCTTGGCCGTGCAGCGGCCCACCCTCTCCTTGCAGTCCACGTGGACGTTCATCTTGCACAGGCGACACTTGACTCCCTGGCGAGCGTGCCCTGCAGACACACACAGTCACACACTTTGTGGACGAGCACCCCCGCAAGACCTTTCCTATATAGGGAAAACAACGCTAGCCCAGCCGTCCAATGAAGATAAATTGTTAGTCTGTGCATGGATCCCTGTAAAGATGGTCCAAAAGTCTAACTAAAAGTCACTATAAAGATCGAATTTGCGAAACTCTGTATAGGTACTCTACCCATCTAGTAATAATTATCAATACGACCTAATAATTTTGCAGGACCGAAACTGATTCACTATAAGTTGTCTATGTTGTACACAACACATGTCTATAATTGACTGGTTATAAGTCTAAAAGATATCGACGTAATTGTATCTACCGATAGAAAACGAATAAGATCTAAGTCACGATCATTAGTACATGAACTATACACCTCATCCTAGACAAGTGGTCGTTGATTCCTACCTCTCAGTACTTGCGAACAGACGTCGCAGGGGGTGATCTTCTTGTAGGTGTACTCCTGGAAATCGTGGACCCCCATTTCCACGTTCCCGAGTGCAGCATCTCTCCCATTTTTCCTGTAAACACGCAGAGTGTATTAGAAAAAATGGGCAATTTACAATTAATTTATTATAAAAATCGTCCTCTTTAAAAAAAAAACAATGATGTTATGCAAATGAAATCTGAAAACCTGGAAACTAAGAGAGACATATTTTGAGAATTGCGTGATTTAGCGTGATTCTGAAATATTTTGCAGACCCATCGATACATTTTCCTTGGAAAATAAGTGCTCTTTAACTAAGTGAACATTTCTGCGACGGAACACACGTGAGCACACTGTGGCCTTACTACTTAGGTACTGTACCTCATTGCCATGATGGTGGACACCGCGTGGTACATTTGATTCTTTCTGTTAGACGGGATAAAGAGAGGAGACGGGAAAAGCAAAGGTGAGGCAGAACGAAACAAAAATAAAAATAAAGAGGTCGGAGGGGGGAAAAGAGAGAAGCAAAAACAGAACAATGTGATTAATAATTTGCGAGCGTTTGTTACATCACCACAGCTGTCTGTACGTCCTCAGGCACATGCCCATCAATGTGCTTCTGATTTGTACGGTTAAGACGATCAAGCCCCCTGTCTCATCGGCACAATTCATTCGTCATTAAATGGCACTGTAATTATTTGACAGTGCGGGAGGATGCGATGGATATTAACATGTATTGTTAAATTAATAGATGCCATGCTAATGCGTGAGTGTAGCTCAATATTGACTGCAGTAACAACCCCGGGAGTCGGTATTCTGATCACTGCAGTGGGCTTCCTTTCCTATAGCACGCACACAATAAAAATTTCTTGCCACTATGACAATGTTTACAAATAAACGCAATCGACGAGGGATATTTTTTGCCCCTGATAAAATTATAATAACTTCTCTCTCAGAAACCCCAGACGTCGCTGACGTTGGCCTATCAGGTTTTCTTAATACGTTTTAGTCATAGGACAGAATAATTTTTATAGTGTGCGATGTGCGGACCCAACCCAACCCCGGCTTGCGCGGAGCCCCAACTGGCCTTACCTCTCGGACTCCCTCGCGGGGTTGACGGGCGGTGCGCTGCTGCTGCTGCTGCTACCGGTGGTCTTGAGGGACTTGAAGGCCTTGAGCCACTTGCTCTTCATGGAGCCCGTCGAGGAGGACGACATCTTGCGCTCGCGGCCAGAGCCGTCCGACGCACTCTCGGCCTTGGCCCCAAACAGCTCGCGCTGCAACAGGAGACGTCACCATCAGCACAACGGGTCAACTAGAGCTACTCATCAACAACGCGCATGAAGGAGGACCAGCACCAAACAACGAGTGTGCAACGGTTGAAAAAGTACGTAAAATTTCAAGTTCAAAATAGAATGGCAGCATCTCTCATGTGCCATCGACACGGCGAACAGTGCCGTCGGAGTAGTGCAGGCAGGTCAGGTCGCGCGCCGCACCAGCGATATGGGCACTAACTACGGAAACCAGGCCCAGCTGCGAGGTCCAAGACATAGAGGTGCACCTGCGAGGTCCACAACAAAGAGGTGCACCTGCGAGGGCCGCTCGTCGAACATGACGCTCTTCCCCATGGCGGCGGCGGTCGCAGGACGGGCGGTGCCTCTGGCGATGCAGGCGGTTGCTCACGGCAGCGGTCCTCCTAGCCTGGCCGCACGCACCCTGGCGCACGCTAGCCGTGTCCGAGTCCGCCCGCACGACATCGATTCGGTCAATACGCCGTCGTATGCCGTCCGGTATGGCCGTCCGTGTCCCGTCCTGTGTCGGTCCTGTCCCCGCGGCCGGCGTGCCCCGTCTGAAGGCCCCGGCCGGGCCTCCGGCGGCGCACCGGCTGGGCCCCCCCGCCCCGCGGGCCGCCCCCTTCGGGGGGCCCTCTGCCGGCCGCAGCTGGCGTGGCGCCAGGCGCTAAGCGGCTACCGCGGCCCAAATAGTGGACGTGTATTGCTCGGTGCCCCAACGGTCAGAGCACGCCACGCCGCGCCGGACCGTCCCGCGCCTCCTCAACCCCCCTCCCCGCCGCCCCCCGATCAATGCAGACTGCTACCTGCTGTACCCCCCTCCCGTACTCAACCCCTCCCTGCCCCCGGGAACGCGGCGACGGAGAAGAGGGGACGCTGGGGGCAGAATAGAAGAGGGAGCGGAAAGATAAGGAAAGAAGGAAGGGGGAAGGAGCCCGCCGTTGCCTGCGGGAAACTAAATGTAAACAAACGGGTGTAGACAGGAGTTGAGAAGAAAAGACACACACACACAGAAGGGCGCTACGCCTCGCCCGCCTGCGGCGGTAGGCAACGCAAGGTGTGAACGCGCGGCTGTCGGGCGGGCAGGCCTACCCCGCTCTGTCTGCGGCTCTCTCCCGCCCCCCACTCTATATCCCTCGCGCCCCGCTGGCGATGTTTGGCCGACTCCCGACCCTCGTCGGCTCCAGGACGACCAGGACCTTGCAGCGAGCTTTGGTTGCGCAACGTTGTGCACTGCACTGTACATTTAGCCGCCTCTGGAGCCGCGCCGCGTCGAAGCGGGCCCAAAATGTTCTGTATACGAGGAAACTCCCTGAGGTATCCGCATCGTTAGAAATCAAATCCTACACGGTCAGAAAGTTTCTTTTTGGTTGCCAGGCAGAAGTGCTTGGTTTCCGACTTGAAGACCAAGCAGTCACCGTAACAGAACTTTATTTGAACAAAGACAATGCGCTCCAGTGTGGAGCTGAATGCCCACCCTGCGTCTGCGCGTGCACGTTTCGATTGGGAAAGACACCCAGCCGCTATGGGGCCGCACACGATAGGACAGGTTTCATCAAGGCCGATCCATGTCGCCGGGGTACCATGTCCAGCGTCGTTAGGTCCTTGTCATTAGGTCCGGCCCGCGGCCACGCACAGGTCCCACGTGAAAGGGAGAGGGGGGGGGGGCGTAAAACGGATCTGTTAAAAGGACACTACTTATACTTTGGAAAAATAAACAATAAAATAAATCGTTACGCGTCCTTTTCAATGTAAACCGCTGCATGCGACTTGCTGCAATTTAATATTTGAATTTGCATTATATTTACAAAATACAACAAACTGAAAGAAATTGTTAATCAAAACATATGATAACGACAATTTTTTTTAGCCGAAAACACGGCTGCGCATTCCTAGATATATCAGTAACAATTTTAATGACTGAAATAATGTGACTGGTGCAGGTAATGACTCACAGCCCCCCCCCCCCTTTTTCCATATGTCCCAACCCTTCTCCCGCGCGGCTACTCGGTTCGGCCCGAGGGAAATTGCGGCTCTACTACTGCTGCAATGTGATGTCCCGTAAAACTCTACTGCCCCGAGTAGAGGATATCGGACCGGTGATACGCAGATGAGGGTTGGCCGGGCGTGAACCACTCGTGCACTGGAAATGCAAGTGTGTGAATGTCGCTCACCTGCAGGTGTGTGAATATCCATTCGTACACTTAGCGGGGTAAACGTGTGAATTTTCTAGGAAAAAACACATTGAAAAACTAAAACAACTGAAACCTTGCCGAGGATATGTTCATATTGAAAGGGGTTTATTCAAAGCCTACGAAGGGATTTTCGCAATCGTGAAGGGTTTTCATCGTAGTACAAAACAGCCGCAATCCTCAGAGTGGAACGTCAGGAGAGAGCCCTAACTCCCTAACTAGGTTTTGGGCGTGTACATAGGCCGACCGGAAAATTTGGAAGACCACGTGAAAGATAAAAGAGAAAATTGAGGAAGACCAGTGGAATTATTGTCCAGAAAAGTTGAGAGAGTATTGAAAAAGTTCTGAGAAAACTAACAAAAACGAACAAAATTTAACATAAGTGCGGGAAAGACCAAAAGCCGACCAAAGAAAATCCAGGAAGAGAAAAGAGCACGAAAACTTCAAACGACATCGGAAGACCCAAGAAAAATAGCAGTAAACTGTGATAACCCAGACACTGCTGCAAAACCCAGGAAAACCTACGAAAAACTTCCCCTTGACGCCGAGAGCGTTTAATCGTAGCGTGTCTCCCACACTCAGACCACGGCATGCCTGCGCACTGCGCAGGTTCACGCGGGGGGATGCGGTGAACTCTTCCCACCCCGCCCTCCCCCTTGGGCCAGTCCATCACGCATCGCAGGCGGGGAGGTCGCTGGACCAGGCGGGCCGCGCCACCGCGCGCCACGGGATGCTGCGGGGCCAGTGTTGTTGTGGTTAGGCCCGAGCGATGGGGTCAGGGAGGAGGAAAAACAGGGTGGCAAAAGAGGGAGTCGGGAGCAGGGGAGAAAACAGAGATTAAAGGAATGATATAGATGAATTCATGGGGCTGCGGGCTAGGTTGGGCTGTTAAAGATGAGGAAATAGAGAGACACGGTCTGAACGCCACGCAAGAAAAAGAGAGGGAGGCGGGGGTGGGAGGGGGTAGGTTAATGAGGTACCGCAGTGCATCATGAACCCATATACGGCTACTCGTAGCACGTCCCCAGGCGGGGCGGCGGTG